GAGGCCAGCTTGGTCTACAAAGCAAGTCCAGGACAGCCAAGGCTACACAGTGAAACCCTGTCCCAAACCTCCCCCCGCCCCACCCTATCCCACCCCAAAAAAGAAAGTCATTCCAGGAGCTAGAGAGTTGGCTCATCAGTTAAGAACACTTGCTGGTCTCGTAGAAGACCCAGGTTCAGCGCCTAGAACCCAGATGGCAGCTGGAAACCATCCCCAACTCCAGTTTCAGTGGATTCAATACCCTATTCTGGCTTCCATGAGAATCAGGTCATGAGCATGGCATGCATACACACATGAAGGCAAACTCTCATACAAATAAAATTAAAATTAAAAAAAACTGACCAATGAACTTTACATAAAGGAATAGGTTCATATAACCCTGATTCTGAATCAGAGGCTAAGAGACGTTAAAGTCATCTTTCTCAGGTCCTGGGAGCTTGTGGCGAGAAGTGAAGATTTAAACGGTGCCATCTCATTCCAAGTCTAAGCTTACACCCCCTGCTCAAGAGTGACTCCCACCTTAGTCAACACAGTAAAGAAATCTTTGCATCTTATTCCACTTAAAGACAAATGGCCTTAGCACTTGGCATCTCAGCTTGACAGGCCTGAGTCACTCCTAACTGACCTAAAATAAGAAAGAGCTCTATGTAGAACCCTCTGTCTGCACCTCAAAAAGAACTCTGTTGGACCCATGTGGTCTGGGGGTTTTGTTTCTGTTTGAATATTTCTTTGGAATAAAAATATTTGAATGGAGATGGGCAACAAGGAGTGCACAGAATTTCTGTTTAAAAGGTGCTTTCTCTTTTGACCTGAGCCTGAGGCTTGGGGCTGGGGCAGCAAAGCAGGATGTCGGCAGGGTGTCTCTCCCCAACCACCACTCACAGGGCCAAGCCAATCCAGGGACTGGCCAAACAATCAAGACTCTCATGAATGTTCCCTCAGATTCTTCTTCAAAAAGGCCCTCACAGGGATGCCACTGAGACCTGAGGACACTTGAGGTAGCTTTAATTCCCTTCCACAGAAACAGGATTTGTAGCTCGTTCACCTGTGCCCAGAGAAGAGACTGTGTCTATTCCCTTCTCTGACCAGCATGACCAACTGGGAAGCCCTCCTTCCCTGCCACCCAGGTCTCCACAGGAAAATAAACTGCCAAAACTTACTTCTCAGAGATGACTCTCAATAAAGGCGCCACAGCCTTTAATGGACAACAGAGCATCTTAATATGAATTACTGAGGGGGCACTATGTCTAGAGAGAACAGACAATTAATCTACTTTTGATTTCTAAGTTTTCCACCAGAAAGACCTAGGGGCTAGTCATTTTATCCTTGCAATTTTATTCATAAAATAAATAATACCCTAAGTAGTCTTAAAAATCAAATTGGCCAACTTATCCTACAGGCAAAGTTAGAAAGTCATCAGTTAAGACAGAGAGAATGTAATTTGCCTAGTATCACCCAAATAGTCGGTGCCAGAGTGTGGATCTCAGACAATCCAGCTAGTGAATAAAAGTGAGAACACACACACATGGACACACAACACTTGTGTGTAGCCTTGGCTGTCCTGTACTTGCTTTGAAGACCAGGCTGACTTCAGACTCACCGAGATCCACCTGCCTCTGCCTCCCTGAGTGCTGGGATTACAGGCGTGCACCACCATGTCTGGCTATGACATCCTTCTTAAAACCGGTATAAAACCATTAATGCCACGCTGTTGCTAAGAAAGTTAACATGATTGTAACATATGGAAGAACCACACACACAAAAAAATGCTAGCAATTCAGTTTTGAATGTCATGTGTCAAAGCTTACCACCTGTTATAATAAGGTCAAATTCAAAGAGGCCTCATGGGAGCTTGCTACTTTCAGAGCCACAATGTTCACAGCCAGTCCCAGCAAGCCCCACAAACACATGTCAGTATCCAAAACAAAGAAAATGACATAGAGTGTGTGGATGAGATTGGAGTGCAGAAAACAGAACACCTATCCAGGAAGTAACCAGATCTTGAGGGCCAGTAATTAGCATCAGAATACCAGCCTCAGACAACCCCCCAACATACTACATAAAAAAATGATACGAAGAATCAGGATAAACAGGTATTGAACCAACTCAGAAGGAAATGATTCAATTACAGAGTTTTGGTCTCTTCATTTGAACAATGAAGGATGTAAATGGAGTGGTTTTTAAAGACCCTCTAAGCTCTGAAATCCCAAATACGGATACACGGGACAGACACTGTCTTTAAAAAAAATAATAATGATAATAATTCTTTGTATTATTTTTTTTCTTTTTTATGTAGTATGTTGGGGGTTGGTCTGATGCTGGTATTTTGTTGCTAATTACTGGCCCTCAAGATCTGGTTACTTCCTGGATAAACCTATTCTTGTTGTGTAAACCTGCCTAAAACATTATATCTGATTGGTTGATGAAAGACCTATACTTGGACAGGACAAAATGGGGTAGGCATGGCTAAAGTTCCCAGGCTTTTGAGGATAGAGAATCACAGGAAACAGATGGACAGAACGAAAGGAGGCAGGAGGATGTCATGATGAGTGTGGAGAAGGAACCATGTGGGCCAGGAGGAAGGACTCCAAGGATGGTGTGGATGGAGAAAACACCAAAATAAAAAATATAAATAAGTATTTATAGGATTAGGGATGGAAAAAAAAAAAGTGGCCCAGATAGAAATGGCTAAGGCAGATAGATGGCACTGGAAGGGGCTGGGAGAGGGATGGTAAGGTCATTTGCCCAGCCAAGGTAAATAAGGCCAATTATAAAATCTACAAGATGTCTGTGTCTTATTATTTGTAATGGCGGGTTAAATAATACCACCATGAAAATTATAGGGCTCATAATTAAAAACATTATATAGCCTAACACCAATTTTAATTTACAACAACAGTAGTGGAACCAAGCCAGTGTGTAATGTCAAACTTGAAAAGCAAAAAACAGAAACCCAGGAAGTATGCACAAGGAAAAAGAACCATGTGCACCTGGTCTCCTGAGAATGTTTGGGTTCATGCCTGTGGCACCATCATCCCAACTAGTTAGTGTCTGATTTTACTGCTACAAGTATCTTTGTTTGGATAACAATTTGTGTTATTGCCCTACCTATAAGATTTAGTGTTCAATTTTTCTTAGAAAAACATGTTAGCATTTCCTATCACTTACCCTGAAGCCCAAACTCCATAGTATGTATTGAAGGTTTCACATATCTGGTCAACATTCCATCCAGCATGTCCACTGTATACAAGTCATATATGACTCTCAAGCATGATAACTATTGCTCACTATTTTCTACTCCAACCAATGCCCTGAGTCATGACAAACTCCTCTTCTACATCTCTCAAGAATACACTGAAGGGGCTGGGGAGATAGTTTGGTCAGTAAAGTGTTTGATGCACAAGCATGAAGACATGAGCTTGGAGCCCTGGCATCCATGTACAAGGTCCAGTGTGGTGTCACACACCTGGGGTCTCAGTGCTGAAGAGGCAGGGCTTGGAAGAAACTTGAGCTTGCTGGCCAGCAAGGCTAGCTAATCATGAGCCCTGGGCTCAGTGAGAAACCCTGTTGAAAAATATAAGGTGAGAAAGCAATTGAGGGAGACATATGCTGTCAAACTGTGGTCTCTCTGTGTGTGTGTGTGTGTGTGTGTGTGTGTGTGTGTGTGTGTGTATGTCACGCACACATGTACAGAATCTACTCAATGTTGTCTCTTCTGGAGTCCTGTCCTTCCTTTACTCAGGGTCTCTGCCCCTATCCCTTCTAACACAAGGAGCCAACCAGTTTACAGCATTTTCTTAGCCTCCTCTCCAACATAAATCTGCAATGGATTGTCCTGATTGGTCTATTTATCCCTTTGCATATTAATAGCATTCATCAGGCTCACTGAATTAAACTGAAAGGACTCCAGGGTCAGCGGCCTGTGGTTGGAGTGTAAGGTCTCCACGCCTACAGCTGAATTCCATTTTTGCCACTTACAAAGAAAAAGATCTTCCACAAATTATGTGCCATATATTAACAAAGGCTCTTCAATATAAATGGGGGCAGGGGATGAAACTTTCCCTAATCGTCAGTCCAAAACATTCAAGAGTTGTGGTGAATGTTGACTCTGGAACAAAGTACATGGATAATAATGGGTAATTCATCCTTACTGGTGACCACTGGCCACTGAAATAGATCAAAGCAGGAGAAATAAAAAAAATGTATCCTTTTTTGCCAAGAGAGATGACCCCCTGCAGTTATTATACTTTATATGCCTCCCAGCGGTCAGATGCCAATGCCAACACCTTCCCTAGGATTCCTTTCCTTTCTAAATTCTGGTTCTCCTCTCTGCTGATTGTCCTCAGTAGAAGTGTCACCACAAATAACAGAGTGGGAAAGGAAAGCACTCAAATCCTAAGACAGCTTGTGGTCAAATAAGGAAGAACACCTCCACTGCCTGAGTCACTGGGGGAGCCCACCCAAGGCATTCTTGGTAAAATGTCAAGCAGATGGAAGCCCTGGAGCTTGGGAGGGCTCTGAAACTTCACACTGGGACAAGGGATGGGGAGTCAACTACACCTTGAACAAAACATACCCTCTTTGAAAAGCAGTTGGTTTTGGGATGTGACAATACCAAACTATGGGAAAGAATAGATGATATGAGAATCCTGAGGGACATTAGAAGCAAGAGAAAGAAAAGGTACATACCTTAACAGCTTTTGCTGCCACTGGAAACATGGCATAGGTGAGAGTAGGCAGTATCAAGGAAAAATCTTCAGTGACCTCTTTCATTTTATCATTTACACTACAGCACTGAGGCCAATACTAGGTTGAATAACTGTAGAAAGAATGTTAAGCTGACATTGCCATAGACATTTAAAATGAAACTCCCCTGGTAATCATATCTGCAAAAATACCCACACGTATTCACACTCTTGTTTACCATTATCATAAATTAGTGGGGCTATATAACAACATTGGGAATCTATAAAGGAGGCGACAGTTAAGACAGAACTCACCAAGCACAATGACCACAGTCTTCAAAAGACTCATCATGGTGTCCCGATTCCTCCTGGGTCCTGAACTATGCCGAGACATTCTCATAGTCCTCTGGCGAACGTAGCCAAAGATGTGAGCATAGAGAACCACCATGACCACAAAGGTCACCAGGTTGAAAATGGCCCAGAAGACTAGGTAGGAGTCACTGTAGAGTGGTGCCATGTTAGAACAATGATCAATATCACAGATGCAGTTCCAGCCCACACTGGGTATGGCACCCATCACAATGGCCATTGTCCAGATGACTACGATCACCACAACCACGCGCCTGTTGCTCATTCGTGTATGAAGCTGCATGCGGAAAACCGTGATGTGCCTCTCGATGGCGATAGCCAGCAGATTGGCCACAGAGGCTGTCAGGCTGGTGTCGATGAGACCCTGCCGGAGGAGCCATGTACTAACGGTCAGTCTCCGAGTATTAGGTCCTGTGTTGAACATCAGGTAGAAGTAGGCCAATCCAGCAAAGAAGTCTGCAGCAGCCAGGTTGGCCATCAAGTAATAAATAGGGAAATGGAAGCGGCGGTTGACATAGATTGCCACCATGACCAGTAGGTTGGCCAGCATGATGAACACGCAGACAGTGATCCCCAGCCCCATCACCAGCTTGCTCACTGTGTTCCATTCTGTAGCTAGATATTTTCCACTCCGGTTATAGAAGAAGGCAATAGACTCGTTGTAGAAGCACTGTGGTTCATTCATGGCTGTGAACTGAGAAAAAAAGATGAATGGATGCAGGAATGAATAAATGAATTGAAGAAACCACAGATCCAAATTTAAAGATGGATAAGCGACCTATAACATCTTTAAAGTAAATACATACATATATACATAATAAAATATAAAGCAAAGAATCTGAAAAATTTGACCCAGAATAATACCCAAACTACATACTGGTCACTTAATACTCTAGATTAAAGATAGTGAGACAAGTAAATGACAAGGCCTCTGCTTGGTGGTCTGTGTCATTGAAGTCTACAGGAAAAACTTTAAAAAATTCTGCCTTAAAATGGCACTTAAAAAAATCTTCCTTAAAATACCCACTGCAGCTAAAAACTCAGTGGACTTGGGGTGTGGCATGCATGCAGAAAGGGGAGGGAGGGTGGGGATTGGGAGGGGAGGAGGGAGGGGCTTATGGGGAGATAAAAAATGAATAAAGTGTAATTAATAAAAAAAAATAAATAATTAAAAAAATACCCACTGCAGCTAAAAACTTTTCAAAACTTTGCAACTGGAAAATTTGTTTTACTGAAATCTATTCTTCCCTGATATTTAGTAAACACAGGTACTTTCTAGATATGGTATCATTGGCCAATTAGTCTGCATTTCTTAGCTCAGAGAGTGTTTTTGACCGGTGACAGACATTTTGTAACACAAGCTCCCACAAGGACCATCATGTCCAAAATTTCAAAGGTCATACTATGCATCAAAGATTCCTTTGCCAAAGCCAGCATGAACTGCTCACATTCCTGTGGTTAGCACAACCCACCACCAGGACTAGCATCCCAAGAATAGCATCCATCTACCAATCTGTGACTCTTGAGAACTTCCTTCCCCCTTGGAAGGCTTAATATAAGCAGTTGATACCTGACACTGATCCACAAGAAGCAAAATATAATTAGCTTAGAAGAAACATATGCCTTCCAATGTACAGTGACATTGCTTTATAATGTATTTACTTTTACACTTTTTAATTTTTATCAAAAACAGTTGGAATATATTTGCATATTATTTGTACTCATACTTCAGTCCAGAAAGTTCTGAGGTGTTTTAAATACATGCTCAGTAAGTAGTAAAGCAAAGTTAGAAAAGAAAAGAAAATGAAGAATACAATTGAGGGAATTACATATCAAGTAGAAAAAGAAAAAAAAAATCTTTTCCTGAGACCTGCAGTTCATTGGAGACTTCTAGAATTAGAAAATATTCCCTGAAGGCACTTTACATTCTTCTTTCTCTTCTCTTGATGTGATTTTTAAATCATAAAGTAAATATAATATTGTTGTTGGCTACTTTTGTTAATGTTTGTAGATTATGGACTGGACATAGGGCTTTTAACTGGAATTATAGGCCTGGACAACCAGACCCACTTAATCAACATTTTTGATTAATTGTCCTACTAAATACCCATAGGTTGTACATAAATGTTTACTAAACACTAGGTAATTTTTTTTAAACAGCAGTATGAAATGCCTGAGTGATTAGTCCTTTGAATTATGAATTTCTTCCCTATCCTGACATTAAGTTGTAGCTCACACTTCTGCAATGTGCATTTTGGGTAATTATCTCTTGGTTCCTCTCTTCATTAAAGAGATCACACTCCAGGAAAAGAATGAAGAACTTTTCTTGCATTTCTTGGCATCTTCTGTAGAGTCCACAGTGTCTTCCTCACTAGAAATCACAGAACTTGGCCTGTAGTGTTAGATTTCACCCCACATCATGCCCTGATTCTAGGTAATTCATTGACTTTTCTTGCCTGTCATTTCCTTGACCTCATCTCTAATGAGATATTCCATTACATCTCAGTTGCCTACACCCATGGTCAGACCCACACGACTTTTTCAACCACCCAGAACTGCTTGCTTTTGGAAATATTTGGGACATTCTAATGGTTCATCATCATTCCTCATTTTCAATTTTTCTCATGTGATGCTTAGTATATCTGTCTTTTGAAGTTATTCACTTTCTTGATCCTCCAATTTTTTTTTCCACTGGAATATCCTTCCTGTTTTTCATTTTCTCTTTGAATAGTAATTGATTCAGTCTCTTTATTATGAGCTCAGGGACATAACCTCTTCTTGAAGAAATTAAGGTGTCATGTCCACCTGAATTCAGAAATTTCTGATCATTTTAACAACAGTTACTGTATTAATTATTTCTCTTATTACTATGATTAAGTATCTGACAGAAGTAACTGAAGGATAGAAGGGCTCATATTGGCTCACGGTATGAGGATATGGTCCACTCTGTTGGGGAAAGTCTTGCCAGCACAGTGTTAAACATCTGGTCAATTGAATCTACATCTGGGAAGCAGGGAGTGAAGAATGCTGTGCTCAGTTGCCTTTTTCCTTTGTGTTTACTCCAGGACTCCAGCCTATGAAATGTTGGCCCCACAGTTAGGGTAGGCCTTTCCACCTTAATTAACCCAATCTAGAAACTCTCTCCCATATTCGCCCAGGGGTTTGTGAACATTTCTCAGGTACAAAGGGGTTGTGAATAGAACATTTTTAAGAAGCCCAAATACAGGATCATATCTCCATTTCAAATCTCTTAACAAAATTATTTCCGAAAAATCCCTTCTGCCCACCGAGGTCACTTATTCAGGGGTCCTGTGGAATAAATATGGATGTCTTTGGAAGCCACAGTTGTACCGACCTGGAAGAACACAATGAAAAACAATTTCTGAATTTAAAAAAAAAAAAGCATAAAATTTCTAGAGAACAGAAATGCCAAATACAAGATGTAATCAGCATCAGATGAGAGAGTCAGAGATAACAAGAAGGAAATGGAGGCGCAGATTAAAACAAATACCTAGTCATTCTGTGGATCCCAGAAGGACTCGGGTGGGGCTGGAGAGGCAGAGCCCCGCACAAGGAAAAGAGACTGCTTAAGAAGACACAGTCAGTACTGATTTATGTTTCCATAAATTACAAAACAACATTATCACAAAATGTTCCTCTAGCTTCATGAAATTGTAGAATCTCAAGGGTAAAGAAAGGTTCTGGAAGCATAAAGGAACAATGAAAAGACAGCTCACCAAATGTTTAAGGCAGAGAGAGCAGAATAACCCCAGTGGTTTTGATATGAGATCCTTTAGAACAGTGCTTTTCAACATGTGGGTCGCAATCCCTCTGGGATCAACAGACCCTTTCACAGGGGTCACATAATATATATTTACATTGTGATTTATAACGGTAGCAAAATTACAGTTATGAAGTAGCAATGAAAAGAATGTTTGGGATCACCACAACATGAGATGCTGTGTTAAAGGGTCACAGCACTGGGAAGGTTTAGGACCACTGTTTTCAGACAACACCCAAGGTATGAGAAACCCTGCTGTATAGAGAAAGCCTTTAGGTACCTTGAAGTCTACAGCCATAGATAGCCTCACAGAAAACCTCCCCACAGGCTCATGTGTTTGCATACTTGGTCTTCAGCTGGTGCTGCTATTTTGGAAGGTCATAAAATCTTGTAGGCATGAGATCTAACTGGCTCATAGATGGCTGTAGGGGTGGGGCCAGGAGTTAAAGACCAGGTCAGCTGTAAGCCTGAGCTCCCTGCTTCTCTATGTGGCCACGTGCTCCTGCCAGCATGCTTTTCCAGTCATGATAGCCAGTGATCTCTGAGCCAGAATAAAACTTTACTCCATTAAGTTGTTTCAGTTAGGAGCTCTACCACGATGACAAGAAATGTAACTAAAAAAATGCATGTGCTTTACCTAAACATAGTAAAGGCAATATACAGCAAGCCTATAGCCAACATCAAACTCAATGGAGAGAAACTTAAATCAAACCCACTGAAATCAGGGACAAGACAAGGCTTCCCACTCTCTCCATATCTCTTCAACATAGTACTTGAAGTCCTAGCCAGAGCAATAAGACAACTAAAGGAGATCAAGGGGATACAAATTGGAAAGGAAGAGGTCAAAGTGTCACTATTCGCAGATGATATGATAATATATATGAGCGACCCCCAAAATTCACCCAGAGAACTCCTCCAGCTGATAAACACCTTCAGCAAAGTGGCAGGATACAAAATCAACTCAAAAAAATCAGAAGCCCTCCTGTATATCAAAGACAAAAGGGCCGAGAAAGAAATTAGGGAAACAACACCCTTCACAATAGCCACTAATAACATAAAGTACCTTGTGGTGATACTAACCAAGCAAGTGAAAGACCTGTTTGAGAAAAACTTCAAGTCTCTGAAGAAAGAAATTGAAGAAGATCTCAGAAGATGGAAAGATCTCCCGTGCTCATGGATTGGTAGGATTAACATTGTGAAAATGGCCATCCTGCCAAACGCAATCTACAGATTCAATGCAATTCCCATCAAAATACCAACTCAATTCTATACAGACCTTGAAAAAAGATTCTCAGCTTCATATGGAGAAACAAAAAAACCAGAATCTCCAAAACAATCTGTACAACAACAGATCATCTGGAGGTATCTCCATCCTCGATCTCAATCTGTACTACAGAGCAATAGTAATAAAAACTGCATGGTATTGGCATAGAAACAGAAAGGAGGATCAATAGACCCAGAAAACCCACACACCTATGAATACTCAATTTTTGACAAAGAAGCCAAAACCATTCAATGGAAAAAAGACAGCATCTTCAACAAATGGTGCTGGTCAAACTGGATGTCTACATGCAGAAAAATGAAAATAGATCTATATTTATCACCCTGAACAAAACTAAAGTCCAAGTGGATCAAAGACCTCAACATAAAACCAGATACTCTAAATTGGTTAGAAGAAAAAGTGGGGAACAGCCTGGAACTCATTGGCACAGGAGACAACTGCCTGAACAGAACACCAACAGCACAGGCTCTAAGAGCAACAATCAATAAATGGGACCTCATGAAACTGAAAAGCTTCTGTAAAGCAAAGGACACTGTCATCAAAACAAAACGACTGCCTACAGATTGGGAAAGAATCTTCACCAACCCTTTATCTGACAGAGGGCTAATATCCTATAAAAAACTAAAGAAGC